TGAGCTTCTTGTTGTGGGAAGGAGATGAGTGTAGGAGGTTTCTGCATTCAGTTGGACACGGGCTGTACAGTCAGTCAAGCTTTAGTGACTCTTTGCACAATTGAGTGATGGAGTCCTAGGAAGATTCTGTAATCTGGGGCAAAGGGAAATTTGAGGTTCCTGCTTCAAGAGAGATTTGTGCATATGATTTGTATGAGGCTTTCATGGAAGTTTAGAGAGTATTCTTCCAGGGAATGCTCTTGTATTCTTAGTTTCTGAGGGTTTGGCAGGAGGGAGGGATGGGGTTTTTTTTTGTTGAGGGGTTTTAGTTTTGTTTTTAATAGAGTGCATACACATTAGAATTCTTAATGTAAATAAAAATGAGGGCTGATGAACACAAAAGAGAAGGGCAGGACTTTAAAAATTATGTTAATCTTGTCTTGCATTTGTAGTTTAGTTGTTTGTAAAGAAAGGTGGCTTTTCAAGGGAAACTGTAATTTGGTTTGGTTGGTTGGTGGTGATTTTTTTTAACAAGGCAGTGTTTTATCTGCAGTGTTGAAAATGATGGAGCGTGACCTGCACTCATTCAGATTAGATATTTTTAAGTTTCTGCTACAAAATCATGACTGACATTTCTAATTTACTGGTATTTGATTTGGGTTGACAGTCTAAAAATGTTATTGTACATTTCTGTTATTGCCAATGTGCTGGATATGTAACAAAGTATCTGAAGTTTTCCATTTAAATGGTTTATCTACAAAAAATATTTTTCTTGTTTAATATGCTGAATTTATTTTTTTTTCTTGTCACCTCATCACTGTCAAAAAGTTTTTAGAACCAGTAGTGTTAGCTTCTTTTATCTAGTTCCTATATATAAATTTCTTGTGGAAAATGAGATTTACTGTTCCTCTAGCTCCTAATCACTTTCTTGGCAATAAACAAATCAGTTATAACCTAAACGGGGTGAGTAACCTGAAATGAAGGAAATAAATTCTGCAGATATATAGTTTGAAATCTCTCCAGAGTCCCAGTGGTCTGCTTTTCTTTAGCAACATGTGGAGAGCAGATGGCCAACAGCCACACCTGGCAGGGAAGAAAAGTTAAAAAAGAATGAGAGCATCTGCTGCAGAAAACACTTGTTACTGGGAAGCAGAGATCTAAACCATTGCATGTTGTGGAGGTAATTTGGAAGAGGACAGAATCCATTGTCCTGATGGCTGCAGATTGTGTGATTTGTTGTCAGTTTTTTACAGTGTTTTCAAAAATAACATCTCTACATGATTTTTCTTTCCTTTGAGGAAATAGAGTGGTATGAGTGTTGGGGTTTTTCTCCCATCAAATGGATGGGAGGTGTGTATCCTACAGCATGCAGTGTAATGCATCTGAAAAATATATGGCATTCTGGGTGAGTGGGGAGGGCAGGAAGTTTGCCAGAATTAAATGGTTGAGTCACTTTACAGAGTAAAACATTAATGTGATTTTTTGTTGTTGTTGTCTCTGTTATTTTTTTTCTCTTCCAATCTTAGCAAGAAGGTTCATTGTGTGCTCAGCACTGTCTGAATAATTTGCTACAAGGGGAATATTTTAGTCCTGTTGAGTTATCCTCTATTGCACAGCAGCTGGATGAGGAAGAAAGAATGAGAATGGCAGAGGGAGGAGTGTCTAGTGAAGAATATAGAACATTTTTACAGGTAAAATCTTCTTAATTTGAGGTTGCTTGATATTTGCCTGAAATCTAATACTGTATAGCACAGATCTGCTATTCTTGCATAGCTAGGGAAGGTTAATTTCTTATTGCTAAAAATTTTTAAGTTTATAGACCTTTTCTTTCACCCATCTTAAATTTGGCATTTTCAAATGTTACTAGTACAACTTTACAGTAATTTTACAAAAAGCTGCATCATCTTCATCTTACAGGTAGGAAGGTCAGGCATGGCAAGAGGAGGGTCAGTGATTTGCCTTTTGTTTTTGTAAGCTACTGGCAGAGAGAGGAACAGAAGTTCCCTTGCCTGTCTGTCCTTTAATCACAGAGCATTTCTAATCTAAAGGTTTGAGTTTTTAATTAATAAGCTTATTTGGGCATTGTAATCAACCTTGCAGACTATTTAGTTGTTTGGACAACAACTAAATAGGTATCCAACAACTCAGGACATATTTAGTTGTTGTTTTAAGTATGCAGTTATGTTTATTTTCAAAAGTGAATTATTTCTGACCTTTTGTGCTTACACCATTTTTCCCTTTTCTCCCTCCAAACCTCACGCTGAGCAGCAGCCTTCTGTAAACATGGATGATAGTGGATTCTTCTCAATTCAAGTAAGCATGGCTCTGTACTGATAGAATTTTTTTAATTTATGCAATATATGTTCTCTCATATCATTGAAATGACATCGAGCTTTTTCATCTAATTTGCAGTTTATAGGCTCAATGGTATTGAGTGCTGGACTACTAAATCTTCAGAGTGTTTTCCATTCAGAGCAGTGACTTGCAGTTCTTCAGTTCATGAGCCCTTAAACACACAGTAGAACCATTGGCTCCTGAACTCTGAAATGACACCTACTGGCAATAAGCTTGATTTCCAAGTTGCTTCTTAGGGGTACTTCATGTGTAAACCTTGGCTCCCATAGACTACAGGTGAAAAAGCAGACTTGAGATTGTCTTCTCAAATTAGGCTGTCAAGCCCTTGGCAGTGGTTACCACAGTGGTCTGCAGAATGGAAAAATCTGCAGTATCTGTGTTCCAGTTATTATAACACACTCCAGATGCTTTAGAGATGGGTTTTTTCTTTTTCTTTTTTTTTTTTTTTTTTTAAGGACCATAATGGAAAAATAATTAATAAGAAATACTTAAACCAGAACAACCACCAAAAAAAAGGTATTGAATACTGAATTGGGGCTTGTGTCTAGACTAGAGCTGTAGTCAATGCTTTGCACCTTTGGCTGCCTCCTGAGCTTTCAGAGGTACTTGTGAATGTTCCAGAATCCCTTGAGAGCCTCTCTTCCTTATGGCAGGACAGGGCTGTTTTTCTCTTCAGTGAAAAACCATTAACAGGCTGGCATTTCTTGTATTCTTGGTTGTGCTGCTTCTATATTGAAGCTGAAAAAAACTGCTTCCTCATATTCTACTTTTTTTGCCCTGTCATTGCTTTGCTCACTTGCTACATAGTTGGCTCACTGAAAGGAAGATGAATTGTTCATTTGACATTTCTTACAGCATTATTTCAGATAGCTTTAAAGAGTTACTGTAAAAGAGTTTGTGCTAATGTACCTGACTGATCCTGTGACAATCCAGCGGTGCAAAATTTCCAGTAGTTGCTGTGGGAAAGGCTGACATTGTATTTGAGGGGAGAGGGAGGGCAGAGCAGCACGTGGAGAGAAGAGAGATGACAACTTATGAAGTGTCTGTGGGAGGTGAAGTTACAGCTTTGTCTGGGGGAGTAAAGCTTATTGAACAATCTCAGTTAAATCTAGTTTTGTTACTTCCCCTTAGATACAGTGTGCACGTTACGTTTGCATGTGGAGTCATGGCAGTTGCATTTTCAGTAACGTGATTCCTAGGTTTCCTAGCAATGTTTAGGAATCTAAGTTTCATGAAAACAGTGTAATTGTTTATAGCAGTTAAGATGGTGACGTTGCTTAAATTTAGATTTAACTGTTTTGACTCATGAAAAGTGTTATTTTTTTGACAGGTTATAAGCAATGCCTTGAAAGTTTGGGGTTTAGAACTAATCCTCTTCAACAGCCCAGAGTATCAGAGGCTTGGGATCGACCCTATGTAAGATGTTTTTTTTCTTAGAACCCTGCTTTCATTTTACAGAAAAATAATATTCTTAATCTGTGATTTAAATCTTTCTTTAAAATTATTATTTCAAGCTCTGTCACATTCTGATGTTTTTATTATTCCCTCTGTCTTTATATTTTTTTTCCTTTTGAGGGTGTATATGAGCATCTGTCCTCTCTGCTTTCATGATATCTCAGTATCTGTGGCATCACAGGTATATGGAGATTTCAGTAATGTTGACAACTTCCTAAATGTTGTAAAAGCAGTATGAGTACTCTGTAACATCAACAGTTATATTACTGAAATTTTATTGTAGAAGTTTAAATTAGTGAAGCACTTTATCATTAATATACACTCCAATATGAGAGTATTTAATTTTATCTATACCTTTTGTTTTTCTTTTTACAGAAATGAAAAATCATTTATTTGTAATTATAAGGAACACTGGTTTACAGTTCGAAAGTTAGGAAAACAGGTGACATTGTCTTTTTTTATTTAAAAATTTACTTCAGAATGGGGGTGGAAAAGTGGTTGCAAGCAGACCATGTGTTGGCCTTTTGCTGCAATTTGCTTTAATAGTATCCCATATTAAAAAAAAAAAAAAGAGAGAGAGAAAAGAGTAAATGTTTGTTATTTCACAAAAATGCCAGGCAGCTGTTCATGAACGTTAGCCTGGGAAAGACCTTAGGATCGATTCCGCAGTGAACCTGTTCTCTAGGGAGCTGCAGCTCTGGTACAGTCGGTGCAACGTCTTTAGCTCTCTTCTTTCTTTTCTGCATGAAAATAGCAGAAAAAATTTACAGAGGTGGGGAGTCCTAGACAAGGGTTAGGATCCCTATAGAATGCAAACTTAATTTTAATGCACTAAATTATTGACATTGTAAAAATAATTTTGCTAATTTAAATGGACAGTAGGTATAAGAAAAAGTTCACATTTCAAATGTATTAATATTTATGATTACTCTTATTTAAGAGTATCTATCAGGATAAGGTTGGGGGAAGTAGAATTACAACTTTGCACTATTTTAGAAAACTTTCTGAAACAGTTGTATTATAAGCAGGAAATGGTTATTAAAGGTAAGGGATGGCCATACAAGTATATGGTACCTCTATAATAAGTCACATCCATGTCCCTTGTGACACCAGTGCAGTGTTTTATTTCAGTAGCCAATCATTGTTCTGGATCATACGGCATAAGCATTTACACAACATAAGCTGGTTTGGTGTTTGATTTTTTTCTGTGTTTTTTTGGTCATAAAAGTGCTATTTTTGAAATAAGCTTTTAAATTCTACAGTAGTGGACAGGAATCTTTACCCATTTGATTCATTTTTCAAGTGGTGGCTACCTATGTTGTCACCCAGATTAAAAAAAAAAAAAAAGAAAAAGAAAAAAAGTTCACCTGTGAGTAAACAAACTAAACTCTGCTGTTCTGCTTTAGTTTAAAAGTGTGTTTACAGACAGTTTTCCTATATTTGTTATCAAAAAGGCTGAAAGGGCTGTTAAAAGTATGGGAATGTTCCTTATTATATATACAACCATATTTCATGGAATTTTGTGAGATAGCATTCTAGCCCAAAATGTTTTAAGTAGGAGGGGGGATGTATTTTGCTTGTACGTGTGGCTTGTACACATGAAGACAACACTAGGTGTCTGTTATCTAGAGAGTAATGAGAAAAGTTAGACAGAATAGGTATTGACTTAGATTTGTCCCACTTCTCTTCTGTTACAGTTAAAGCAAAATTAGCTTAAACCAAACCTTACTCCTCCATATTCCCTTTTAAAAGTTTGTCTGTAATCTGCCCATCGTATTTGCTGACGTAACTTTTTCTCCCTCACTCCTGCACTCTTGGTCTTCTTAGCCTTTCCTAGTGACAAAGGGTGTTTTTGACAAATTAAGTGCCTGAATGACAGGATGGCAGATAGTCACTTACCTGTATTCCAGGTAAATTATAGTGTGGGCCTGACAGCAAGTGTATGACTGCATGTATGGATATTTGGGTAGAAAATGCATTTTTGTGAGAATGGAGATAGAATTCTCCTTCTGTTATCTGAAATGGTGCTTCTGGGTTAAAATTAGATAATAAAATTGAACGAGTATGGTATAAAAACGTTTCTTCAGATTGACTGCAATATATATATGAGGTTTTAAAGCTAGAATATTTTGTTGTCCATGTTGAATATATTTTTTTTCTCTAGAGGAATTATTATAAATGACTAGTTGCCTCCTTAAGGGAACTAGAAATTATCTGTGTATACTGTCTCAAGTGTCCCTTATTGTAATATTATACTGTACTATCAGCATATTAAATTTTAGTTCATTTTTTTGCAATTTTTAAATTTAAAAATTCTCAGAGAGAAGCAAACAATAGTTTTCATCATCACCAGCTATTAAAGGCAGCATGTTTAATGAAAGTATTTGATGGAAAGAATTCAATTTCTGTTTTCTTTATCTATTAATTTATTAAGATACAGCATTAACTTATGTAGGGTTTCCTCCTTCATTAGTCTCTGAACAGATTTAAAACTAGAATTAATGCTGTCTGAAATAATTCTTCTACCGTTATATTTTTATTTATCTGTTTTAATCTGTTTGCCTGGTACCAGTGTTCAGTAATGGGAGAGAGCATGCAGTAATTGCCCAGCTTCAGATCTCCTGTTAGCTGAAGAGTGTTTGAAGGGTAACATTTAGCAATAGAGGTATTGTGCTTCGAAAGACTTTTGATTTGATAATATTTATTTTACTAGATTTACTTGGATATTCCATCATAGAAAATTACCACAATGTACAGAAATGGATTACCGAGTAAACTTTATGCTAATTTGTTCTCTCAAACCTTTTTTTTTCTTAATTACAGTGGTTTAACTTGAACTCTCTCTTGATGGGTCCAGAACTAATATCAGATACATATCTTGCACTTTTCTTGGCTCAATTACAACAGGAAGGTAATAGTAACTTGCAGATGTTAAATCTCATTAATTAAAAGTAGGTTATGATCATTATTTATTAGAACTTACGTATTCAGTTAACTACCCTTAGTTTTATGATTGCAATAGCGAAATAACCCAAGTCCTTATAATGAAAGGTAGAGCCTTACATTGTAATAAATTGCACATCATTATATTCCACATAGTGTGCATTTTAGAGTGCTTATGCATGCACCTTAATGCTGTAGACTTATGATTTATTTTTCTCAGGTTATTCCATATTCGTAGTAAAAGGTGACCTGCCAGACTGTGAGGCTGATCAGCTATTGCAGATGATTCGGGTACAGCAGATTCAGCGACCAAAACTAATTGGAGAAGAGGCAGCACAGTCAAGAGATCAGAGGTAAGGTAAACAGATACTTCATTTTAATAATGTTCAGTATGATTGGTTCCCATGGTTAATGCCTACATGGAGACAACTCCCTTGAGGTGTACTTAGAAGTACCTTTAGTGCAATATGCTTACTACTGTTGCACACTGTAAAAGCAAGTTGGTAGAATACAAATGCTGTAGTTTTAAGTGGGCAAAAACTGCCTTAATAGTCTTTCCATGTGCATAGGTGTTGTATAGTGCAGATTTTTAACTGCATGATTACAGTATTATTCCGATTATAGTAAAATGGGTTAGAAAATCTTACCAAACTGTGGTTAATAGTAATCAGTCTATAATTAAGACTGGCTTGAGCATTCTGTCATAAGTAGAAAAGAACGAGAAACCCATATCTGAATTCCACGTCATATAAATCATACACCATTTCCTTTTGGAATCATTTCACTGTAAATGTTGTGGTGCTGCTCTGTTGTGATGCCTACTGCTAATATAAAACATCCTTGAAACTGTATAAAGTACTGCTTCTGCAGTGATCACATTTTCATAGCAAATAAGTTGCATTCTGTTAAAAAGACTTAAGGCTTTTCAGAGGAATTAATTTGTTGTTATTTATTCCATTTTGTAAAGGTAAACTGATGTTATAAATTGATGGAATAAAAACAGCCTCCTTAACAATAACATGGAGAGTGTGCATAGTTTACAGAGGATCTGTTTCTCTAGTGTGGTCATTAAAGCTTCCTGAAAAAGGAGACCATATGCACTATTTTCTGCTGGTGTAACTGTTTAAATAGCAATAGGTTCAAATAACACGTGTTACTGCTTTTTGTGGCCTTGTTGTTTCTGAAGTTTTTCCTATCAAACGGATTCTTGTTAACATGCGCTTGGGTTTAGAGTTGCAATTTTACTTGCTTTGCTTTGCTTGCCACTCTTTTGTGCTTTTTCATGTGGATATGAAAATATTTGTTTATGTAACAGATTTTTCACAATAGAAATGTTTTTTCCAAAGTTAAAAAAAAAGTAGAGTTAAATCAGCAGAAAATATTTACTTTAAATCTCACAGCAAAAGTTAGTAGAATTTCTGTCTGAATTCTGCCATAAATGTATCAATTTCACAGGCTACCCAGAAGTGATGTGGACCAAGCAACAGAAGTTAACCATCCTTTTGATGGAACAGGCATGTTAGATGAAGATGAAGAGAATTTTCAGAGAGCCCTGGCTCTAAGTAGGCAGGAAATTGATATGGAAGATGAAGAAGCTGATCTTCGCAGAGCCATTCAACTCAGCATGCAAGGTGCAGTGCTCATCAGAATTTCTCCTGTAGTGTTCATGTTGCTTATGCTCTAGGCAGCTACTGAAGCCGGTTTCAGTCAGCCACTTTTTCCAGTATGCATCAGGCTCTCTGAAAAGACTGTCTCTGAGGCATGGAAGGACAATCCAGAATTTTCTGTAGCTATCTCCTTTTTGAAAAGTTGCAACTTTCATGTTAGGATTATCATTAGGAAACAAGAACAAATTGGCAAAGGGTGGCAGGAGGGAAGGAAAACAGTCCTAAGGTGAGGAGGAGACATGGTATCAAGTGAAGTTAGCCTAGGTGCTTATTTCTCCAACAAGTCTTTTTCTTCCCGTTGAGTTTGAAGACATTTTCTTAAGCTATATTTCATTTACTAACTTCATTTTACTATAATTAGTAGGATATGGTATGTTCTGGTTTTAGGTTGTCGTCGAAGTGAGTTCTCAGACTCATTACCACAGAATGTTCCTCAGTCACCTCACACCAGTCAGACAGACTCTCTTTCTTCAGAAGAACTGCGAAGGAGAAGACAAGCATATTTTGAAAAGTAAAGTAGTTGATAGAAAACTGCATGTGGAAGTACATGTCGTATTTTTCAGTGCTTTTGGGGTGTGGATGGGTTTCTGACTGAGATCCAGCTTAACATTTATATCTTAACATAAAACTTTCCTAACAGTACTTGAATTTTGCTATTCCCAGGTGGTTCCTATGAAGAAAAGAAACCTGTAAATAAGAGGGGATCTGTTAGTAATGCAACATCAGTCTTGTGATGAAAGAAAACATACATTTTTAATGAAATCCTCTAAATTTCTGTAATTATTTTCCTGAAGAAAAGTTTATTTCTCTAAGACTTTGCTTCTGGTAATTATGCCTTTAATGTGCAACACATGAAAGCATTCCAGATCATATTTTATGTTGCTTTTCTGGAGCACCTTCTTAATACAGTTGGGATATTGTTGTAGCTTTTTCTTATCTCTGTCTCCTAGTGATGGAGGAAATAAAGACCAGGGAGAAATGGTATGAGTTGTGGGAGTTAGACTTTGTATGAGAGAATGGAAATGCAGAACATCTGAATTCTGGGAAAATAGTAATGTACGTTGGAATTTAATGTTGGGAAGATAGGTGTCTGAAGGTTAGCAGGGTGAAATGATTGAAGAGATTTTAGGTGCAGGGGTCTTACTGTATCAAGCAGCTTCTACTTCTCACTCTTGGCCTTCTTTACAATAAAATAGACTTGACACAGGTCTCATACTGATGTTAATCTTATTGTCTTACAAATTTGTAACACTTTCAGGCAGCTACCGCAGCAAGATCAGACCCCAAACTTACATGATAAGCAAGCTGTAAGCCCAGGCACTCTGGAAGCTGACCCAGGTATTGTTTTTTAAACTACTTTCCAACACTGAAATATTTACATCCTTTTCACCTTGGCATTGTGCTCTGTTTCCTGACTTTCCTTGCCTGCCTACTTCCTCACTCTGGCAGCCATTCCGACTACGTATCATAGCCATTACTCTTTCTGGCAGTGAAGCAAAGGATCACTTTCTCGAGAAGCCTGTTCTGCTTGGAATGTCAATATCCTGTTTCAAAGTGAAGAGCGTTACTATTACACCATTCCAGTTCTGGCTTTCTTTTTTGTTGTTTTGTTCAGCATGAGCATTACCAATTGTAATCTTTGGGATCTGTGCCAACAATTTGTTTTCTAAATGACTTTTAAAATTGTATGACAATGTAATAAACTTGGAGTAATTTTTGACAAAATTACTATAACCAGTTTTCAGTAGAACTTCAGTATGTAGACCTTGCCAGTATTAAGCTTTGGTGATCCAAAATTAATGTGTATTACTTGTTACAAACTGACCATTGTGGATGGAAAGATAAGTGTAAAATGTTCAACGATTTTTAAAAAACAAAAACAAAACCAGTTTTGGAGGTGGGGTGGAAACAGGTTGGTGTGGACAAAAGACACAAAGAAAGCATTTAACTGCAGTTGAGAACTAGCTCTGTGCATTTATTACAACTGATACGTATTTATTTTCTGTAGGAGGTGATATGAGTGAAGAAGACATGCTTCAAGCAGCCATGAATATGTCTCTGGAATCTGTTAGAAACCACTTGAATACAGAAGAAGAGAAATGACATAACTTTTTTTTCCCTTTTATTGTCAAAACACTACGTCTCCATTATAATTCTACTGTGTGGATGTTGCACAAGCAGGGTTCATTTCAGAGTTCTGGAAGCAGG